TGAATAAATGGTGCTGCTTTTTTACTGTTAAAACCGTAAGTTTCCTTGTAGTTTTTGTTTTGTGATTCATTCTTAATGCTCTGTAAATTTACATTGTGCACTATTTTATAAAAATAATAATATTTATAAGAACACCGGATTATATATCTTACTGTTCTTTCTATTATATATATATATATATATATATATATATATATATATGTATGTATATATATATATATATATATATATATATATATATATATATATATATATATATATATATATATATATATATATATATATATATATATATATATATATATATATATATATATATATGTATACTAAGTATAGGATTGGTGTATTCAAATAAATCCCAATAACCAAAAATACTATTCTTAAAAGAGTGCTCAATACAGAGTAGAGAAAATATAATTTATTCGAAAATTATAACATAAATATCTTATAAAATCACAACAAAAATAGCCATTTCGTTTTAACACTTCTGGTGTCTTCTCAAGTGATGGTGTTGAATTTAGAATAAAGAGTTTTAAAAACGCTTTTTAAAACAATATAAATACATTAGTCGCTGACATATTTTCCACAATCGTCTATGCTCCGGTTTCTCATGACATGAAAAAATAACTCACCCACCTCCATTCTCAGAGCTTACTTTTCTATTTAGCGTAGACCTGACATTTAATTGATTAATGAAGACATACCCATAAGTCTATTTTTAATTCTGACCTTATGTCCCCATTTTTAAATTTCGGAAAAGAGGTAACACTGTTTTTAAATTTCCTTTAAAATCATTTAATCATCAGTTACTTACTATCGCCTGAAGAAGTAAAATCATAGTATTGAAACATGAAAGCTTCTGTGTAGCGATTTCAACATATTTTATTATAATCTTTATACAAATTATATATATATATATATATATATATATATATATATATATATATATATATATATATATATATATATATATATAAAGAGAGAGAGAGAGAGAGAGAGAGTGATGTTTATTGGCATGAAAACAGTAAAATCTCCTTTCATTTCTAATTTGTGAGTGTGCCTGCAATTCATTAGCTTGATTAAACTGTCATAGGAGATAAAAAAAAAGAAACGGTGTTGGACCCTCATACGTTGAAATTGACAGGAGACTCCATTAACTGCATTTACAACGAAAACAAGCCCATGGGTGATTATGTTGGACACACCACCATCCCCCTGCCAATTACAACTGACACTACGTTTCCCCGACCAAAGCTCAATACAGACACATTTAAACCAGAACTGAATCGTAACAACCTCAATATACAACATACTCGTCGAGAAAACGAATATACCTCCTACTCCAGAAGGCTTTTAAAATGATGAAAACCATAACTATAAAATACAAGGAACATTTAATAACTTTCATTATGATCACGGCTACAATGAACTGGACGTATTTGGAAATTTAAGATGTCTATTTTCTGCAACTTTTGCACAATAGCGCTTACACCTCATTTATTATTGTAGTATAAAACAATGAATCCTTGAAAATGTCTAACAGTGTAGCTGAAAGCGCGTGGGAGCAACAAACCTTTGGAGAATTTTTACATTCATCAAGTCCAGAATGCAAAAGATAGTTGTATGTATACAAGAAAACAAGAGGAGAGCTGAAAAGGTGTGTCCGAGAGAGAAAAAAAAACATAATAATCGTCCTGGTTCATTTATTTGAAACCTCAAATTTATTCGGAGCAGATTGTTTGTCTTGTTTGAGTATGATGATGCCGTTCGGAACAGCAAAATAATCATAATTCCACGTTACAAATATCCTTTAAGAAAAAGATAATTTTGAGTAACGTTAAACTTGAAAATTCACTCATTTTATCTAGTGGACTTCTTTGATGACGTAAAAATAAATCATATATTTTATTTTATTTGTAAATTGCAAATTGACGCCAGAAATTGAAATTAATGTAACCCTCTACCTAGAGTGACCGTCGGGCCTTGTACAGGGTGAACCTAACTATATATATATATATATCCGTGTGTGTGCGTGATTGAATAAATTACACACATTACGTCTGCTAATTTTTAATAAAATCCGTTCATACTCACGAATAACATTCCGTGTATTGATGTCAAAGGATGACAGAAATGTGCTATAGCTGTTTAAATTTCTTTTATTTTTATTTCCCAAGTACTTTCGATCTTCTTCCAAGACCATCTTCAGAGGTGCAAGTAGTACAAAACTATATGTTGTTCATTAGTATAAGTATTGCATTTACAAGCATAATGAAAAATTACGATAATGGATAACAACGCATATATATATATATATATATATATATATATATATATATATATATTAGTAGACTTCCTGATGTTATCGTTCAGGAGGGGGCGACGTCAGCGTGGGCACCTTTGGAAAGTAGCTGAAAACCATACCTAGGGTTAACCCAAGCCTTGTGAGTGAAATTATGTAGACGGAACCCATGATGGTCGTCGATAGCATGAAGTCACA